TGAAAATGACTAATTCTCGAAAATAAAATTTATAAATTGATGAATTAAATAGATATGTACATGAATATATCGCACTGTCATTCACCTGTTGGGAACTGAGTCCATGTAGAAACATGACAAAATGGTATACTTTTCTTTATTAAAGAATTGAATGACGTCTAGTATTTGGCGTAGATGCAGCTCATTACTTCAAATGTCAAAAGATCGTCGGATTACAGAGAATCAGGCAACGTACAACCCTGCAAAATTAGGCACAAAGACGTTTTCTCTTTAGAGACGGAGTGAATAAAAATGCACTAGAGCGTGGCTACCGACTCAGCGTCGACTCGTTCCTAATGGTAGCAATGGTAGCAAACCAAACATTCTTTCGAATACAGAACGTACACTTGAGGTTTCATGCAAACAGTGGGCATTTGTTATTCGTTAGGATGTAGAAAACAGGGAAAAAATTAACACTTTAAGACTTGAAATTTCTAACAGTTGAGAGGGAATTTTATTCAAAGCAAAAAGGGGCGGTTTTAGTCTATACAGTCATAAGTCAGCATCGTATTCATTCTCTAGACATTTGGCCTTTGCGCTTTGCGCGCTCCTTTTCTATTTCACGCATAAACATTGCGGCGCCTTTCATCGTTGACAAGCTACGCTGAGATCCTGCTACGATTCACTGAAAAGCTCATTTTAACGCCGTGGCAACCATTTCAGTTCAACTCAATCTCAAAAGCACCTCACTGTATAAGCTTGTAGTTTGGTACCTTTGGCGGCGTAACCTCTTATGACCTTTTCGTTTTCCAAACTTGTCTTATGATATACTCTTCTATTCAGGGTGGAGTGAATTGAAATATGAAGCGGAAAGTGGGTGAAGTAGATTAACCGATTGCCCTCTTGAAATGCCAGACAAAAGCGTCACTCAACAGAAACGAAGAAGCAAGTGAGAACGCAACCCGGCAGTGCAAAACTGGGAGGTCCAATATTTGGAGTACAATCGTGTTCTATAGGTATGGTCTATGCTCTCTACAGATACGCATGATTTGAGAATTTTTGTTGAACACAGTTGGCTATCGAAACGGTGGTAAAAGTAAATTTCACCTCCCGCCCCCCCCCCCCCCCCCCCCCCCCCCTGCCATTCTTTAAATAATTCCAAATCGTATTTCGCATATAATGTCACGGTGTCTAACGTACGGATGGAGGTTTCAAGTTTGCTCTTATCTAAACAGGAATATTATGAGCTACCTAAGCATGTGTGTGAGCTGAAGGTATTAAAAATAAGAGACCACAATATAGGAATAAAAAGAATGATTTGGGGTGGAAAATATCTTTGTCCATACAAATATTGTATATTTGGAAATAGTACTTTGGGGTTTCATATCCAATATCAGAGAATGATAAGGAAAAGGAAAGGCACAAACGTTGTTGTTGGTGTCGTCTGCAGATGATGTGACGTTGTCGTCACCGTAATCTTTTAACAAAAGAGAGCAAAGCTCGAGCAGAACTGCGGATAAGCACAATCGCTGTGCACACCGCTGCATGGTAATCTTTAAAGAAAAAAGGTAAACTACACTGCTGAGGAACCCCCCCCCCCCCAATACAAATAGTACGTCAAAAAATGTTTATTTCACCTGCAGTGTCTAGCTATATCGGAAATGTACTAATAAGTTGAACGGCGAAAAATCTCATGAACACCATCTTGGCCCTTTGCATACTTCTAAGGAGGATACAACACTTTCGTTTTGGAGACTTTGGCTCAAAATGATATCTAACAGACTGGAGTTTAGCTCAAAGCCTGAAAAAAAAATTATACGTTGATAGCTGCTTTCAATGAAAAGAATTTAGGTTCTCATGCCAACTAGAAGTGCACATATTGATATCCACAGGAGAATCGAGCCCATCTCGCGTAGACATGTTAACAATCACCTTGGCTATAACATTTGACCTATCAAGGTTTTAAACCACTTGGCTTACTTGACCCAAATGCCTCAAAGAGTCTAAAAGATTGTAAATGTTATACGCCCAAATTGGCCTAATTTAGGCCATTTACTAGGCCTGCTCTTTTGAACCCACTTGTCAGGCCAACCCAGGTTAGTGTGATACAGCACCACAGCACAGTTACTTGATATGATATTCCTCACATTAGGATAGAACTCACGTATTTTGTGATGATCTTTACCGTGTAACCACACCCCTCAACTATCTGACATTAACAAAGTTTTGAGGTTGTGTTATAAATTATGAACGTTCTTTACATAGATTTCATTAGATCACCATCTTTACCTGCCAAACATGTCTCATCTATGTTTGGTTGTTATTGACATGCACACAACGAATTGTTTAGATTGTCTCACTTTGTATACATTTAAGGGATTTATTTCCATCTTTAAATCCCTTCTTGCCCAAGTGGCCCCGGTATCTGACAATATTGTTGTTTCGTTATTGTGTCTTCTGAAAGCTCATACTCCTTTCCGAAGCCAGCAAGACTGCAGAAATAGTCAAATTAAGCATTTCTGTTAAGGCCTTATTTATTTCCATTCTTGAAATCTCTTGCCCAAATGGCACTGGTACATCCACACTTTCTTTCTCTCCCCGTTTCCCACAAGCTGATTACTTGTTGTTCAAGAAAAAGTGAATCGAAGGTTGATTCTCACGGTTCAACAAACAGGCTGGGCTGGGCTGGGCTGGGCTTAGGTGGGCTTTCTGAATATTGTCATTGCACAACATTCACTTCATTTCAATGGCGATTCTCTTGAAGGGCAGGCTAAAGCAAATATATGGAGGTGGCGGGGACAGAGAGCCTGGGTTTCTCCCAAAGGTTGTCGTCACCTCAGTTTGAGCCCTCCCCCGGAGTCGGGCAAATTAATTAGGCTGAGCTAACACGGAGGCTTGTGGGAACCGACATTGAACAGACTCGGCTTGAGTCAACTCAGATTCTGCTAAGGAGAGAGTTTGAGAGAGGGAGTTCGAGAGAGAGAGAGAGAGAGAGAGAGAGAGAGAGAGAGAGAGAGTCCGGGAGAGAGAG